CATCTGTTCTAGCCATATCCTTGTGATGTGCCTCAGGGGTACCGAAAGTTCCGTGGCACCTTACCACTACCTGCCTTCAGCATGAAGCATTCTTTTCTGTGCCTGTAGTAGCTCAGCTTCCTGATATCAACAGCCTCTGGCCACACAAGCACTGCCATCCAGGTCTCTGCAGACTTCACTTTTTCTGTGCAGGCTAGTGATAGGCACACGCCAACCCCTGAGTGCTCGGAGCGCTCGTTGCAGTGTTCAGCCTTTAAGCATTGGACACTCAAAGAAACTACCAGATAAGCTGTCCCCAAAGGAACAGTACACACTAGCTTGTTAGAGTCAACAGAAGTTCAACTCCAATATAACATTACTGCACTGATACATTTATAGTGAAAACAACCAGAAGTTGTTATATATGATATAAGAGACAGTGAATGAGGACAATAGAAACAGAAATTATTATGTAAAAAAGAAACATAAAAAGCAAACCTAGGTCTACACTCCTCTATGGTTGCCTTTCCTATTTAATAAAGGAGATTTTCCCCTTGGAATTCAGTCTTTTGCAGAGCTAGCTGATTTGCAGTCGAACTAGGATCCAAGCATTCATGCCTCAGGGAATGGGGAAAAAATGGTGTCTTTTTGCCTTTGTCTTATACCCCCAAAGTTTTTTATTTTGCCCCCAGAGTCAGTATGCGCCCCTCCTCTCCTGGGGTTTATTTTTTAGTGTCTTGTCTCCTGTTGGACTTCCCACACCCCTCTTGAGTCATATGTAAATGGGGCTTTCATTGTTTTGGCCAACAATGTGCATTCCCTCTAAGGTGCATGTTTACGTGGCCACCCAAGAGGGCATCAAGGGCCATGCACCTAATTAATGGAGCCACGCAGGCGTGCAGCCACAGGTGTGCCTTGACCCTGGAGGGAACGTGTAAGAAGGTGAGGTGGGGGAATACAGGGTGGATGGGGGCAGTGGGGTGAGGTGGGGGGTGGGGAGCTTGGGATGTGTAGGGCTGTGGTGGCCAGTGAGAGACACCTCTACCCCAGCCCTAGCGCCAGCCCCAGGGCTGCGAGGGCCAGGGCCTGTCCCGATGCTGTGGTGGGGAGAGAGGACTCCTCCTCATTCTGGAGCAGTTGTGGAGAGAGATGCCTGTCTCTCCCAGCTCCGGGGTGTCTGTGGAGAGAGATGCTTGTCTAGGCCATCCGGGGCGGCTGTGGGGAGTCCTCTCTCCCTGCAGCAGCCCCAGGGCTGAGTGTGCCTCTTCAAATCCCCTTGCTGCAGGGTTTGTAAGGTCCTTGTAGAGATCAGTGTAGGTGACAGAATCATCCCTCTGTATGACCACTGCGGTCTTCAGTGTGACACCTTTTCTCTCTTGGGCTGCCTCAGCTTTGTCATGGTTATAACTTTTTAAAATTATTTCTAGGTTTTTTTGTTTCTACTGGTGGTGCACATCCGCATGTTACCTCAATATTGGCATTACACATAACAAAATTCATTCTGCACACGGATGGAAAAAATTAGAGGGAACATTGCCTATAATGCTTAATCTACATGGCTGACAGAGAGACAGGTGAATCAAAGTCCTTTGTCTGATCCAAAACCTGTTCATCATCTCTGCCTTGGATGCAGATTTTAAGACATTTTTCAGTACATATACACAACTCCTTAAATATCATCTGTACATACATCTCACAATGATTATGAGAATCAGTATGACAAATTTGTATTAGATACCTCTGCCTTGACCCTCTTTGGATAAATATCATGAAAGCAATGTGTTTAGCATAGTGAGTCTGCCAGGCTCGCCTATTAGGAGTTTCTGTTATGGAACAGTAAACCTTTTAGCAGCTGGCACTGAGGGGTTCTTAAGGTCAATATACTCTACCCAGTAAAACTCCTTTTTTCTTCTTTTCCCAAATAACTCACTCATCTGGTTATTCTCTTCCTTCTAATCTCTGCTCCCTCATTATTATTTCTCCCTTCCCTCTCTCCCCTGTTGCAGTTGCCCAGGTATATGTTGGACACCTCAGAAAACAGGCTAAGATTCCATGCTCCATAAAGCATACTATATAAATTTAACTTGACAATCCCTTAGGGAAGAGGAGAGGGAGGAAAAGAGTGACAATAAGGTAACATGAGAATTCAATAGTTCAATTCCTTCTCTCTCTCTAGTTTCATATCTTTTCTCGCCACATGTTTCAGAAGTAAGGTTTCAGGTGGGATTAAATGTGCCACCTAATTTTGGGGTGGCCATGAAAGAAGATACAGAAATAACAGCAGGTTGAAAAATAGGGGTCCCACTCCCCCGGGGAAAATTTTGATTTTTCACAGGAAAAACAAAAAACAAAAATTGCTGAAGATTTTCCATTTTTGAATTTTCCAGTGGAAATAAAATAACACCTTTTCAGAGAAACTACACCTGTATATGCGTTCCTTGAAAATATTCATTTAGCTGAAAGCCCTGGTGAAAAAAAAAGTATAAACATTTTTTGACTAGCCTTAATAAAAAATGTGTATGAAGAAACACTAGAAGATTGCAGTAGTTGAAGCAGTGGATAATAAAGGTGTGTAGAAGGGATTTGGCTGCTAAGATGGAAAGGAAGGGAAAGACTTCAGGGATGTCTTTGGAATTCTTCTTCTCTGTCTTTTGTCTTTCTCATATTCCCTTCCTCTAACTTCTTCCCCATTCTGTCTCTTCTCTTCAATTTTAAAGTGAACCTGGTCCCATTCGTGGGGCCATTTATGGTGAGAATTTTCCAGGTGTTCCTACATCAGATCCACATTGGAAGCACTTGCACTACTTTCTACGTCTCTTTGCACTTTTACCATAGTGTATGCAGTGTGGTTAGCAGGGCTGTAATGTGCAGAGAGACCATCTTGATTATCACTCCAAAAGTTTTCTTTCTTCTGCTGATAATAGCTCATTTTAATTAATTAGCCTCTTAGAGTTGGTATGGCAACTTCCACCTTTTCATGTTCTCAGTATATATATATATATATCTTCTTACTATATGTTCCAGT